CTTCTCCAGGCTGAACAGGCCCAGCTCTTGCAGTCTTTCTTCATAGGAGAGGTGCTCCAGCCCTCTAATCATCTTGGTAGCCCTCCGCTGGACTCTCTCCAGGAGTGCCATGTCTCTCTTGCACTGGGCACGTTGTACTTTGCCGCGTTTCTGCTCCCGCAGGCTGAGTGTCCCCCCCGGACTGGCCCTGCAGCATGAGGGCTGATGTTGGTGTGTGTGGCCGGTGCATGCAGGTTTGCCAGCCCTCGCTGAGCCCCCCAGGTGACCTGCACTCGCTGACCCGCCGCTTTCTGCCCTCTCTCCTCTCCCTCTGCAGGTTCCCTGGTCCAGGCAGTGCTGACTCAGCCGGCCTCACTGTCCGTGTCCCTGGGACAAACTGCCCGGATCACCTGCTCTGGGGCTAGCAGCAGCTACTTTGGCAACAGCTGGTATGGCTGGCACCAGCAGAAACCTGGCAGTGCCCCGGTCACTGTGATATATGAAAGCACCAAGAGACCCTCGAACATCCCTGCGCGATTCTCCGCTTCCACCTCTGGCTCCACGGGCACGTTGACCATCGCTGGGGTGCAAGCTGAGGACGAGGCAGTGTATTACTGTGGTGGCTGGGTTGACAGTGCTGATCAGACTCACGGTGACAGAGAGCAACGGAGAAGGGAGACACGAATGCGCTGCGGTGCCAGGGTCCCCCAGTTCCCTGCTGCTGCTGGGACCTGGCTGTGGAGCTTCCAATATGCTGGTGCAGCAGAGCCCACCGTGGGGCGCGTGTCCTGTGCGTGCTGCCCCCCTGCAGCCCTGCCTCTGCCCATTGGCCTCTCTGGGCCGCAGGCGCCCTGGGGAGGGCTGGGCTGGGGAAAGAGAAGCGGCACAGGGCAGGAACTTTTCCCCCAGGCCCAGTGGCTCCTGGCCTGTGTGCGAGGGCATTTGAGGGTGTTGGGGATCCCTGTGCTGTGGGGGAAAGCCCTGGGGTGTTGTTCTTGTGATCGGCTCAAGGAGTGTCGTTGCTGGTGGCCCCAGAGGTCGGTGCCAGGCATCTGCTGTTCTGCTGGGGAGGTGCAGCCTGGGGCTGAGCCAAGGTCTTGAAAAGCTGGGTCCTGTGTGCAAAGAAGGAAGGGGAAGGAGACGAGAGAAAAGGAGCAGAACAAGAAGGCAGTGCAGGTGCTGGGGCTGGGCAAGTCCCGGAGTTGCTGAGGTTGGATGTACCTCTGGAGAGCATATTCTCCCACCCGCCTGGCCACAACAGGGCTGAGTAGCGCAGGTCCTATCCCATCAGGATTTCTCCAGCAAAGTCCTGTCGACGAGGGGACGCGGAGCTGGTGGGATCATGCCATGGCCTGGGCCCCTCTCCTCCTC